TTAATAATATTTCAAATCAACTGATGAAAACATATTATTGAAAAAAAAAATTAGATTTAGAATAATTTATTAGTAGATTGAGAATCATTTTTTTAAGTTGCGCCTTGTTAGCTAAACAAAGAAAATATTGCGTTACCGAGGTTCATAACTTCCTAAGTACCACGGTCATTTAAGTAGATAAAAACTAAAATAAAGACCCCGTAGAGTTCATATCCGGTAGACATCATATCATCTTATAACATTCATATTGTTTGTTCTTCACCTTGCCGTTACCCTCACACTTTATAAATTACTGGTTGCATTCAAAACAGAGTAAAGTAAAAATTATAAACACCTGTAATATTTAAACGTACATTTATTGATTTTAATTAATTCAAAATATTCATAATATTTTATCTCTATATTATTAGTTAAAATTATAACACTTTCTAAAACATGCAGTTTCCTGTTATTAATCATACCTATTTAGTATTTATTATGTTTTCACTATCAACAATCGTATTAACGAAAAACATTCGTTGATTATGTGAATACTAGTACTTATAGTAGGTAATATACTTTATAGTATATACCTATCTATTGACTATAAATCATTATATTATACTTATATATAAACACGCATTTTAGGTTTGAATTATTTAAACTTGAAAACGACCTTTTTGAGTGTTTATATTAGAGGTCAATAAAACAAAACAAGTTTATTCAACAATTTTAGAAAAATTAGAACATTAATATTATTATCATTATTCACTAAAAAATCAACCAGACGTGTGCAAATTGTAGACGATTAAAGTTAAGAATATTTTGCTATATAAATACAACACATTATAATTTAGGATAATAATGTGTCATTTTTAATTTAGCCACCGCCCACCTGTGGCTCACAACTCAAATAAAGTACAACAATACTACTAATATACTATAGAATGCAATATTATAATATTATGTGCTTCGTGCTCGTCGAATGTCCAATTATTTAAACCTCGTAGTGAGTGTGACGCTGTCGTGGAATACATAATATTATTATATTCCTGGCATAATCTCAAAGCGATATTATTTACGTTGAATAATACTCATCCGGCGACCAGTGTCGAGCGCCAACACGCTTTTGAAGATGTTTAAATTCAGCATCCTAGTACGATTCACTAAATTTAATTATTAGTTTTGACAAACCCGACCTTACTATTTTATATTTTTATATTTCATTTCCTTATGAACTAATGAACCGTGTTTAACGGTTTTTAATACTACCTTAAATCACTGTTGGGTTTTTTATATTTTATTTTAATACTTGTTGAATAGTTGCATAATGACGTATAATGCTATACACAGGAATTCACTTAATATATAGGTTCGACCGTTTCTGTGAACGTATCCAATACCACTAAAATAGTGACTAAAAAAACTTTCCTCCTCGGCGGGGTTTATCCAATAGATGTGTGTATAATGCGATTTTTATGTCGACGCGTTGTCAAATACCTATAATAACAGTTGTAATAAAATATCGTTCACGACAAACATATAGCGATTGACTGTGCTTTCGAAAGATGGTTTTCCACTCACAACACTCTTTTACGAGCCTAATTCAATTTTAATAATATCACTCCAACCCAAGTATTGATTTACTGTATACCTATGTACAAAATAAAACAAAACAAAATATCATTGATATTTCACTTTAGAAATATAATTTATAAAACATATATAGTTCAGCATAACCATATTTAAAATTAATCTTTTTTTTAATTATTTTATTTTAAATAAATAAATGTCAATTATAAAGGCGAAGATTTGATAGAAAGGTGTTTGGGAATTCCACAATTTTCAAAATCGTTTTTATGTGCTTATATAATAATATGTAATATTTATTACAATTTATATTTAATTTTTAAATTAAAAGTTTCAATACTTTATGATAATGTCAGCCATAAGATATATTTTAATAGTGTACACAATACATACCTACTGCAGAGTAGTTTATTCAAATATTAGTAGGGAACACCCATTCCTGCGATAACTTCATGTGATTCAAAAAAAAAAATTTTAAATCCATAGTTTGAACATTTTTAATAATGATAAGGATAATAGTTATAACTTATAAGTCTTATAAATAAAAAAACCAGTTAAAGCGAATCAATGTGTATAGGTGGAGTGTTACCACAGAACGATATCTTCTCTCACGTCACTACGTTAAAATACATCTAATTTACATATATGAATACAGATTGTATGTTTTTTTTTTTTATTGGAAAATAATTGATTGGAAAGAAAGAATTCGAAAAATATTTATTTTGAAATTATATTTATCTGCAACAGTATTGATTTTTACATAATATTTTGTTGGAAAAGTGTCTTCTAGGAAACGTAGTTATTTAGTTTGAAAAGTATTTACTCGAAAATATATGCTTTTGGAAATTAAACCATTAGAAAATATCATTTACACGGAAACGTATTTCATTGGATTAAGTATGATCGGAAAAATATTTTGAGGAAACACGCGACCGCGTGTAATACCAACAATATGGGTAATCCAATCATAACGTACAATACCAATTAAATATTTTTCAAGAAAATAAGATTCTGACCAAAAATACAGTTAAAATAATATAGTCGATTCAGTTACAACGGGATATTTTTCTACAAAAACGAGGCTTAGATAAAATAATTTTCCAACATTTGATGCACACTCAAAAAATGATGAATACTCAATAATTTCAAGATCCGTGTTAGTACAAAAAAAAACATAAGCTCAGGTGTGTTTGATATTTCAATATTTCATTTTTTTAAATATACCATTAAGATAATATTATTACGAATACGTATTTCTAAAATTTCAATATTAAAAAGCAGAAAATATTTGAAAACGACATGATTACAAACCAAACACAGAATAAATTTAAAGTAAATTTATTCTATGGACCTACAGATGTCTATACAAAAACATCGCCAACTTCAATGAACACACGTATAGTACAGACAGAATAGTAGCGTTAGTAGGTATATAAAAAAACCATTCAAGGTATGTATATAAACAGAATATTATATAAGACGATAAGACATAGGTAGGTACGACTAAAGTGGGGTGGGTACCTATGTTTGTACACAATATATATAATAATAAAGTATCAGTGCATGCGGTAACCACGATTATGTTCCTTTAGTCTATATATAAACGACATTTTGTCTTCGAGTATGACGAAAAATCTTTGTTTTTCACGCCGACCTTGACGCAGCGCTTGAGTTAGATCTTAGGTAACCTACGCCGGCTACATATAATAACCATTAACCATACTTCAACAGAATATCAGATGTATCTATATAAATAGTACGAAACGACGACCATAAATGATAATATTATACATCATATTTAAATGTATGTAATACGACCGTGTTGATTCAATGTTAATATACTTATTTAGAAGAAATCTTCAAATTGCTCGAGTGTATTTTAACCCCGTTTCACTTGGATTTTACATTTTTACCAACCTATATTATATATTATACACAAATACTGGACTATTAAACGGCAAATGGAGTAGGGCCGACCCGATTGTAATTTTTTCATATAATTTGCTACCAGAAATCACCCCCAAAGATAAAAATCTCCGGATAGGTAATGTACAAAAATAAAAAAAACCTTCATTGTAGGATCAATACATTCATCGCTCTACTCTGCAGAATCCAAAATGCTCACATCACAAAAAATTACTAAATATTACGATACATTTATATTTGATAACAATATAATAACGTTTGTAAATTATTAAAAAAATATGTTGAAAATCAATGTTTATTTATTTTTGGTGGATTTTACAGTTTTTTCTCGATTAATTTTAAACCAAAAAAAGTGGGATGTTTATTTTAGTTTAAAATTATTTATTTATAATGTATAATTTTTATTTTTGTAGTATTTGTGGTTACTAATTATTTATTTATAATTTTTGCACTGGCTTTTAGAGAATCTATTGCAGGAGTCCAGGACCAAAGTGTGTGACACTGTCACTCACCCCCCACCCCCTCTTGTGAAGGCCCTCGCTTATCCATACTATGAATTTATGTTATTCACAAACAACCTAATAACCACTATATTTTCCGTAGGTCGATCAAGGAAAGTAGCAACTACCAACTGTAATCACTGTCCGATTTTCGATGGGCATCGATTCAGGATCATTATTGTTTTCGAGTCACTGTTTGTGGGTGTTTAAAGTTATTGTGCCATTCGAGTATTGTGACGAAATTCTTCGTTTGTGTACATTTGAGAGATTCGTCACTTTTGAGTCCAACAAATGCGTTGGATGTTTTCCGGAGATTATGAGCAAGGGCTCAGCTGGCCATCAATAAGGTAAATCACAAATCAGTCACTTATAATACACATGTTCGTATAATCGTATCCCGACGAATCTGAGACCGTTGTTTAGACTTTATTGTCATTGCACATAAACTATTATAATATATCTTGTGTAATATATTTATAGAATTCAAATAACACTTTGATGAGATGGTCACGCGATGGCCAAGCGACAAGTCTCCTTAAATGTCGAGAGAAAATAATAACTTTAGTGAAAATAATTCATTTAAAATGTTTTGAACTTAATAATACTTATAAGTTACTTAACTCAGAATATGTTTTAAATAAAATCTATAAACTTTAGATAACTCTTTGTTTGTTTTAATAGTTTGGTATAAAATAATATCGGCAATGATTCAAAAAAAAAATTTAATTAGGTAATTAATGATAAAAGTATAGATAGTAGTATTATAATTATGTATTATTCAGTTAATACAAATAAACATTGATTAATTTATATTTTGTGTAGTAAGTATTATTATAACTTGTAAGATATCCTTTTTTAATTTCCTATCTGCATTGATTAAATAAAGTACTACAGTCGACAAGCTATAACCATTATGGCAATAATATTATAATGTTATCATTTATGTTTATCATTAGTACTTTATATCTCGTTTGAGAATAATAATTGGTTAATATTATAGGGTACCTATCTATAGTTATGACCAGAGCTTACGTGTTTAGCCATCACTGGTCACACAGTGACCTACCTATAATTTTCAGTGAGATGTAACTGTAGTCAGTCATACAGAAAAAAAATGTATTAATCAACATTGGGAAAGAAATTGTTTTATTTCATTTAAGAGCAGCATTTCTGTTTTGAAATAGGCCATCATTACAGCAAAAGATGATTTCACATAAACAGGTGGACTGTACCTAATAATTTGATTGCCATTTTACGTTTGTTAAAAGGTAGGTTGATAATAAATTATATTATAATTATCTAAAATGTGTTCATTATATTCATACATTCTAGAATATTAGGTAGGTACAGGTTTACAGCGCTATTGAGTAGGTATTTGAAGTATATTCTAATTGTTAATATATACGAAATGTTTAAATTAATATAATAAAATAAAATAATAAAAACTTCGTAAAAAATGTTTCACAAATAAAAATTGTTACTTATAAGTTATAGCAGTTATAATTTTAATATTAAATTTCGTGCATTGGTTGAACTAGGTTGGATTTAAATTTTAAAGTGCTACTGAAATTATATGTAATATGAATTTATATTCTATATTTGTATGCCTCATAAGAAATACTTATACTCGTAGAATTAGTTAGGCCAGCTAAGAATAATATATATATTTAGTTTTAAAATTTGCAAATATACAAATTTGGTTTTATAATAAGTTAGAATAACAAGAACCGATAAGAATAAATTCAATATTTTAATATCATAATAATATAAAATATTATCTTCCAAATTATAATTTAATTAATATACCTAATTATAAATTATATTTTATTAATTTCCCTAATCGTAATATTGTAATATTACTAATATTGAATGACTTTTGATTATATTGGCTTTAATTTAAAAATGTGTGCATTCGTTGTGTAATTATAATGAAGGAAACATTCAGAAAACGATCAATTTATAATTAATAGGTACCTAGATACCTGTATACAACACACGTCTATATTTTTTATATGTTAAATAAAAATATAGTTTAAATTATAATACATTAATTCATACACTTAATTTAATCCGAGAAATTAAAATTGGATTGCATACGTTTAAAATAGTGGACACAATTAATTGTATTGTCCGCCGTCAGGGTTCTTATATATTTAATTGATTCTATACGTCGTGCACTTTTCCACTGGTTAAGTATACTTGAAAATAATTTTATATTGATAACTTTAATAATAAAAAAAAAAGTATACTTGAATAAACGTGAAACATCAATGTGTATTTAAACAATTAATCAATGACTCTTATGGAATAAATCCTTTTAAATTATTAATTAATGAGTGACAATATTACAATAATAATATAAGTACCTAGGTACAGTAGATAATATTTTATCAAAATTAAATATTACCTAGGTAGTTATAATTACTATTAATCTTTGTGAGATCAAGTAAATAACATATTATTGCAGTTAGGACCAATTATTTATGCACGTTTAAAGCTATATTTTACGATGTTAATGTAAGGAGAGTTTTTTTTATTATTATCTATTTATCAAACTCGTCAAGAAAGTGTTATGTAATCCTACGTATAGAGCGCACATAGACACACTTGATTAACTTACCTTGATAACGTCATGACGTTGTATCAATTGTTTTACATACCTATACCTACCTACTTGTAGATTAGTTGGAAACGAAATCTTAAATTTATGTTTTAGCACTTAGTAGACAATTATTGACGTTGAAAGGGTTCTCTTTGTTGACAAAATGCGTAGTGTTGCATTACATCAAACCGAACTATTAAAAACGCTGTCATAAACAGAATTGTACAAACGCTATAAATAATATTAATCGTTTAAAAAAAAGCACACGCCTGGATAAATTGCACAGATATTTTCTTTGAAGACATGCACAGGTCGTGTATAATAGATAGATATACGTCGTATAATGCGAACACTGTGGAAAAAAAAAATAATATCAGTTGGTAAACAATCAAAGTCGACAATTGTGTTGTTAACAATCCGGGTACACGTATATTATTGTATTATTATTAATATTACTGTAATATTATAGATAGGAATCCATCAGTTTTTCGAGTCACTCGTGATCAATTGCAATGCGCAAAACAGTGGAAAATAGACGAACAATATTGTTGAATAATAATATGGTAATAATAGTTTGTTATTTAACGACCAGTACACAATAAAACACAGAGTCATACTGTTATAACTTATAACTCATAACTAGTAATAATATTATAATACGCAGCTTGCCCATTTCCTATATTTAGGTATCGTACTATGGTCCAGTTGTCGAGTAGCTAAACGAAAACAGCGTAAAACGGGTGCGCTCACTGCAGGAGCAGGACTCAGGACAGTGTTTCCCGAGAGGATTTAACTGTCCATATCGAGAATAGTAAGTTGACAAGTTGTAGTGACGGGTTATAATAAAATAATGTAATATTAAAATCGAATCCATGCTCGGCCGTATTTGCACATACGCAAATACATTAGATCATTAGAAAATAAAATAAATAATAATATGTTCATGGGACACCCTTGTTTGCTTGCCACAAATTCCGTTCGGTGGGCAGGTTGTAACGTGCATGACGTGTACCTATATTTATACGAGCCAAGTAATAATAATAACTTGTTTGGCAAAAACAAAATAGTATACATAATAATAAATAAGAAAACCATACATTTGCTACTCCCCTCTAATGTTGCTTGTTTTCCTACATAAGTTTCCGTTAGGCACGCGTAAATTATGCAACAGTTTTATATTTTAATATGAATACTTGCTAATATGTAATAACTATTTACAATATAACTTAATGAATTGAATACTTACACTTCTGTTATGATTTGTTTAGCTTTATTTTTATTTATAAAATATATTGGTAGGTGTTAAAATCACTAGACTATAATCACTAAACAGAGGATGGCCGGGGGTTATAATTCAATTGACTTAAGTTCAACTAGTTTTAGAAGAGTTCTTAGGATAATTGTGATTTATATAAGATTCTACGACATGAAACAATTACCTACATTATTAATTAGTGACGTATCAAGAACTTTGTTTTAAGGGAAGGTCCCGAAAAAAATCATAATGATAAATTTATGTTGATAATTATAATATAGTCTATAATTATTATTTAAGTTTGCGAATAAAAATTTCCTTAAAACCAAGAATATATTTGATACATATTATGCACTATTCGTGTTATAATATATTTTACATCGATGGTTAGTGCAGGTTAGATGCAAAGACGGTGACGGCCTATTAAAGTCGCAATTCATAATATTACATCATGCGATAGGTTAAATGTACCGGAATGAAGAAAAAAAACGGACCTAAGTTGTGTTTGACAAACCTCCAAACCGAACGTGTCGGAACGCGTTTCGATTCAATGTCACATGTGTGTGCATAATTTAATATTATAATATAATGTATAACGGTAAAGAGTAATAAAAATAAAAATAATAATAATAATAATAATAATAATAATAATAATAATAACAACAACAACAAGAGACAATAGTTAACACGACGCGCGCAGTAGCATTACAATATTATTACTGCTTGTTAATAATATTCGACTGTAAATAATACTATATAGGTATAAGGAGTGTTGGTTGCAGAGCTGTGAGCGCGCCGCCGCCGGTACAACTACAGTTGTTGTGTATCGGACTGAACACCGATAATAATATAATATCGTCGAGTGCGACAACGTGCCGGTACGCGGACGCGATTAGATCTGTCGGGCGCGCGCGGTCGCCTTATCTCGCGTCCACTATAGTGTCTGCGAGTGTGCGTGTGTGCGCGGCGCGATATACCCACACTAGCACAAATAGACCCACACACGCGCAGGCAGTGTCTGTTCGGCGGCGCGCGTTCAACGTCTGTCGTGTGGTTGCACAGCAGGCTAGCTGTAGCGAACGGGTTGTGGTCGCGGTGGTGCCGGGCCGTGTCTGAGGAATACAAGACAACAACGACGACAAGTGACAACGACAATACACGTATACGATATTTACATAATATAGACGTGTAGTGTTGTGACGGTGCTCTCGATGGCGGCGAAGATGGCGGAGATGCCTACGCCGGAGCACGAAAACGCTTCGTCCGCGGTGCTGGCGAAAATATTGGCTATGACGTTCCTGGGCGTGTCGTCGTTCGTGGTCGGCAGTACGCCCGTCTGCGTGTTCGAGCGGCTGGGTATCCGACGGCGAGCCCGAGGCGCCGCGAACACCGCACTTCGGTTGATACTCAACTTTGGCGGCGGCGTGCTGCTGTGCACCACATTCTTGCACCTATTGCCCGAGGTCCGGGAGGGAGTCGAACGGCTGACCGCCAAGGGGACGCTCGACCCGAAATCGCCTTTGGCCGGCCTGCTCGCTGAGCTCATCATGTGCGCTGGTTTCTTCTTCATGTACTCGATCGAGGAGCTGGTGCACGGGTTCGCGGGCGGCGACTGTCACGGGCACCACAGCCACAGCGGCAGCGGCCACAGCACCGCGGACCGCGGCGGCCGTGACGATTGCGGTACGGTGCCGCAACAGCGCCGGAACGATTCAGTAACCGCGGCCGGTCATCCGAACGCCGCCGGGTATGACAAGGTGGACGCGGCCGGGCGGGTGGCCAACTACAACTCTTGCATGTCCACGGTCGAGCTGGCGGCGGCCGTCAAGAAACCTGGGCCGATCGTCAAAAAACCGGTGCCGGTCGAAGAGTCGTCATCGTCATCCGAGTCGGTCCTCCGCGGTTTCTTGGTCGTTGGCGCACTTAGCATACACGAACTGTTCGAGGGCCTGGCAGTCGGCCTGGAGGAAAATCCAAAGCAGGTCAGTCAGTCACTGCATTTTATAAGATTTTTTAATTTTAAGTTGAATATATTATATCATAATACTTTAAGTATATCCAGAACCTTTGTCAGCTGCAGTCTCTTGTACATTAGATCATTTTTGAAAGTATTCGAATACTGCCACTGATACGCAGATACTTGCAGCTTTGAAAAGTATTTAAAATACGTGCGTATTACAATACACCGTTGAAAATCATTTTAGATAGATATTTTTTGTAGGATATTTTTTATATTTTTTTTACCTTAAAATCAATTTGTTAAAAATTGTACACTGCATCGTGGTCTGGTGTAAGTTTACTTCTCCCACATGTTGACTGTTTTCCTTGTTCGTATGTTTGGTAGAGTATAGCTGTAAAAGTCACGGTGTCACGCTTACACAGACAAAAAATTTTCAATCATGTGAGTGTGCATTAGATATTATGTTAATCTCTTTAAGGGCATAATATTTCCCATTTTATCATAAAATGTATGGATGACGATGTATACCTACCTATAAATTAAGTATACTATTAGATACTGGAATTAAATAGATTATTTTCGGCTCTGAAAATAATATATAATTTGTAAATTTAAAAATATTGCATTGTTTTATGTACACTATATTTTATAACCATATTATACACACATCCATGTATCGTTTTTTCTAATGTGATCATTGATTTTACTGATTTTTTACTTTGAAAAAGTATTTAGAAATTAAATCTACTTAAAGAGCACTTTTTTATAAAAGTATTTAACATTTTTATTTAAGTAGGTGCTTATTAAAATATTTGAATAATATTGTTCAAGTACTAAACAAGCCTGATAGTATGTATATTGAACACGTTTGGCGAGCGACCCATTATCAATATATACAATTGTGTGTTAGATTATTTTGTTTTCACGGTCATAGTAAAATCGACCTCATTGTTTTTATTATATTGTTGTATTTTTCATATTAATTTATGTACGTACAACTGTACAAGTATATTCATAGTTTTCTGGTTGTCATTTTCACGTAAATACGAATTGAATTCGGTGCTCAATATAATAGTGAGTATATTTATTAACAAAATATATTCTGAGAGCAAAAGCTACATATATCTAATTTTAATTTGGTCAGCTATTGGTATTGTCGTTAAAGATTTATTTTTTTAGTAAAATGTAAGTGTGTTTTTAAAAATAAAACTGGTTCAATGATTCTTTATATATTATAATTCATATGTACCTCACGATTGTCTATCAAATATAGATATATATTATACTAAAATATGCACTTTATCTACACAAACATTAATCTACGGTTGATTAGAAAACAGTGCGTTGTACGGTCGTACGGAATAAACATAATTATCAGAATTAAAGAAACATCGTAACAATCGAAATACATTTTTCTTGTGTAGCTCATGGCACTTACAAAATATATATTACCTACCTATTCGAAATGTAATCGTGTGCTAGATGAAATATGTAGATTGTATTGTGCAGCTGTATAGAAATAATATAAAATCAACAACAATCATTTGATCACCTTACCTAAGCCATAGACGTATTCACAGTAAATTAAAAAAACTGTTAAAACGGAGGTTAAAGTTTATTTTACACGTTCTGTAAAACTCTTATTAATCGAAGAATCGATACATTTGTTTTAGTAGAATTCAATGAGGTAGAATTAAGAATTTATAATAATGAAAACAGGTTTCTAAGAACAGCTGTTAGTTGGTTAATAAAAAAGTGGCAAAGTTTGTCTAAAAACGTGTGTATCATAATATTATTACTACCTATTGTAGTATTGCATGTACCTACATATAAATTTTCATATGCGAACTTAATACTTTAATAGTAAAAGATTTATAACAAATGTGTCATCTTTAGGGAAATGAAGCATTCAACGTTTTGACCTTTTTAACTTTCTAAAAAAATTTTTAAAAATTAAAACAAGGTTCTATATCACGTATTCTTAATCCTCATTTTTCACTACTCATCAGTCATCATAATATATCTAACCCAACCTACATAGACATATTATTAATTAAACGTTTAAACATCAAACCACTAACGTCAAACCACCCAAACCCCTCTACAGTATTTATTCATAATATTTAAAACATAAGTGATAAGTAGTAGAAATAGCCTATGTGCTCAGTTCGCTGAGTAATGTGGTTGCGCACAAACCAAAAAACCAAATCATAGTCACTGAGCCACCCAAATCGTTACTCCTTGGCCCCAGTCGAATGCGAGATGTATAACCACATTTTCCCGGCGAACGGAGTATTTTTTGTAAAGACTGCAGTACCATAAGTCCATAACATGTTGTATTACATTTTTAGACCTATGTTTGAAAATTCTCCAAAACTCCTAACAAGTCATATACTCATATCTTTAGATTTATGAGTAATGAGTCATGACTATTGTTTATTAAGACTTGCTTTTCCCGATCCTTATTATAGTGCTATTCTAACTTCTATGCTAAGTAGGTACAAGGTATCTTTATACTATATTAATTGCAGTTGTTAGAGTAATAAATTACTTGTACAAATATAATTACAGAAAATATCAGTGTTACTTGCTCTTATTTTTTTAAAAATAAAACTGCATTTTTATAATTTAAAAAAAAAATACTACATTCATTTTTGTAAGAACTTATAACTTATGTAATAACTTTTAAGAATTAAAAATGCATAATAAATCAATTTCCTAAGTATATTTAAGATAGTTATTCATTTATTTAATAAAAATAAAAACTTAAGTATTTTATGAATATTTTAAGTTTTAACTACAATATCTAATATTATAATATAATTTGAATGCCCATTTTTCCTATATATTTATGTATAAGAGCCAAATTTAAACATAACACTTGATTTTATGGAATATTAATAATTATAGCAGTATAGGCACCTATATTTAACGTTTAATAATTATAATTTATTTTAAGCATTATATATTTATATTATTATATCTTTATATCAGTCCAGTCCATATTCAACAATATAAAAATTCAAGTGCGTACTTTTTAATTAGTTTATTACAGGTAGGTATTTATAAACTTAATAGTGTACGATTATAATATTTAAAACATGTTGAAACTTGGATAAAAAGTGAAAAAATGTGTATTAAACCCTCTTGTAAAATATTATTGTTTCTAGATAAACAAAAAAAAAATGCTCATAAATGTTTATCTTTAAGAGTGTTTTATTATAAAACAATGCTTTAAAATGAATCGTATTTAAGATATTAAAAACTATACTGTAAGTATGCACTTGCTTTATATGTAAGTACTAAGTAATGACGCCCCGGCCTGCTCAATATTTCAAGAGGTCTCTTAGATATACGCCCATGAATTAAGCTCCACGATATTAATGAATTTATTCCTAATCAACTATACTTTTCTCATGATATTCACCACCGAAGTACCTACCCTGAAAATTATTATTGTAATTTTTTAATTTTAAATCGGACTTTATTTTCAAAATACTCCGAACATAATTCAGGACTTAGGGTAGACCAGTCGGAAACTCATTCACATTTGGTAGTTTTAACTTCTAATAGTTCTATAATAAATAATAATGTTTGTGATTGTTTGATAAATTCATATCTTATTTTTATTTTATGGATTTTTAATATTTGAATTAAGGTTGTATATAATATATATTATATAACTAGGTACTTATAATATACCAAATAGATGGGTTAGGTTAGGCAATGGCCAATGGGTAATAGCTCAATCAATATTGTAATATTAATAGATAAATCCATAAGATGTTTCTAACATAGGTGCACATTCAGTCTTAAACTTGGGAGTGCTAAAATGTTTTTCCACAAAGTCACTCTTGGGGGGAGGGGCTTTGCCCCTCGCTATCTGTACGGCTATACGGTTATACACACCCGGCATAAATTGATTAAATTTCGAATAAAATTATAAGTTATTACGTTAAAAAAAAATTGAAATAATGAACCTGCAGATTTTCAATAAAGAATCTTTTTTTGACTGATATATTACCTATAACTAATTATTACAACGACTATTACATTCTTCGATGAACAAGGGAATCAGGGCCATCCACATTTGCACAACTTTCATCAAAAATAAATTATGTAACAAATGTTTTATTCGTTTTAAATATACTAGATATATTTAAACAATAAATAAATGTCCGTGGCATTAGTGCATTATCAATACAAACTGGAATAAACTTGTTCTTATAAACGCAGAATTACGTTCTAAACAATATTTTTAACTCAAAATAATGTGAGGATGCTAAGCACCTCCTGGCACCCCCGTATGTACCCAAATTAACAACCTAAGTCCTTTTTTGTCTTGAAATTGGTAAGCATTAACTCCTCGCTTATTATATAGTTCATTTTTTTAAACTTAAATTCCGATTGAATTATTATTTATCGACTATTCCGCTTAAAATGTAGGTACCTGACAAATCCTATTATATCCATTTATTCTAGTTATAAATACGTATCATAATGTATAGGTACTTATGCATATTATTGATTGACTACCTTTATTAGTTAACACTTATATAATATTATCATATAAACTAAAGTTGCCTATATAAAATTGTTAAAGGTAAAGTAGTTGACAATTTGAATGAGTGGTTTGAGCTATGCATTTTTAGTATATATAAAGAGTATGATAATGAGTAAATACTTAAAAGTACGACGGCAATATTCCTATGAGGCAATAAAATAATTATAATTATCTATCATATATCACTTAAAAAAATGAGTAATTTACAGCGATTATTCATATTGTATAATTATTTAAAGTACCTATACGCATGTGAACAATAGTTCAGAATACTACTGACTTTCATATTATTGAAGGTTAGTTACACAAAATTATTATTTTTGTGTTGACTTTTAATCACATATTTGAAACAAAACTACTATTTAGTCAACAAATATTAAATATTATTGATTTCTTTCATCTAATTTTGTAAATATAATTAAGATATTTTTTTGAAAATTAAATATTTTATTGTATGTTATTTTATAACAGTACCGACCGAAGCACGGTGAATGAATATTATGTAGATAATACATAAGAAGTGAACACTGAGCAATATAATTAAATGTACTTAGTTAATAATTTAAAATTTGAAAACTCAAACAGAAAAACGGGAGAGTCCTCATTTGCAAGCCACATAAGATGACATAAATATAATAATTGGAGGGGGAGGGCATTATCATGATAATTCCATATTATATAATAAATAAATAGATCTAATAAATACCTACATGCATATACTTTCCATGTTGTATGGGGTTTGAACCTCACGCATCTGTATCTACGGCCCTGAAGACTTGTTAAGTGAGAGTGCAATTAATATTTTGTAGAGGACAAGGAAACATGAAAAGGAAAAGCTCGTTTGGAAAGGGGAACCCTAAAATAAATATAGGAATCAATGTAGGAGAATCAATCTCATCTGCTGAGAGTTTTCTAGAAAAGTTTTAATTAGCAGTTTGTCTTCTATCTGAAATAGAAGATTGGTTCAATGCCTTTTGGACAAGAGAGTAGACATGAGGAGGCCAGTCAATTTTGAGGATATATTGGTAGGTACGTAAGAACTTACGTTGAACTCTTTCCAACATTTGAGTTGTGATACATGGATTTAAAACCTCAGAACTAATAGCGTATTTGGGATTTTTTCAAGTGTGGGTATACAAATTTTAATAGACATTTAGTATAGACAAATTTACATATTATTATATACATGTTATATTGTGTACACAATTTGTAAAAGTAAAATACTTTCATTATAATATACTTGGTCACTTGGAATAGGCAATACTCAAAACATTTAGTTTCAAATAAGTATTTCTCTACTCAAATATATCATGTAAACCAAATACCTAAATATTTTTCAAAGTTATAAACTTTGAATTCATTCATACTTTTAATTGTACTCTTATTTAATAATACTGAATCAATACATCTGTCTTATATAAAAGAATTATTGTGTTTAAATTTATTTAATACGTATAACTGTTACGTATACAAAATATACAAAATGTAACACATTTGTATAATATATTTAGTTAAACTAAATTTTATTTCATAATGCCTACATATTTTTTAAATAATATATAAAAAATTATTTTCAATCCCAATGGGGAATGGTTTAAAATGCAACGTTGGTCACAATAAAAATTAATTTATAAATAAATAAGTAATGTACACAAGATGAATCCTGGGAGACTAAATCTTTGACTTAGGGTACTACCGCCGCGCCCCGTAGACATGTTTAACTATTTAGTATTTACTTTCTTTTTGACATTTCGTCTTAATTCTTCTATATAAAACTCGTTCTATATTGTTCTACTTTTTTCAAAATTTTGTTTAAATAATGAATAGAAATCTTGTATTTTTTCTTTTTATTTCTTAATTTCTCCTCTTGTAGTTGCAGTGCTCAACAACAGTATCAATAACGAGAAATCTTGACTACAAATTATATATATACCTACCTATATATGCATACAGTTAAATAAAATAATAGATTCATCGAATTTTACCAATTAAGAATTTAAGGAACAACGTTTTTTATCCTTTCTAAAATATTTCACAGATATTAAATATATTTTCCATTTACAAATCGGTTTTGTATAATGTTAGTGGTACATAATTTAATATTAATCACTGAATATTTACAAAAGTTCAGCTTAAATAAAGCTGCAATAATATTATCCATTTACTCCTTACTCAAATGTTATGTATTGCATATTTTATACAGAAGTCAATAATTGTTTAAATTTCCGTTTAACAGGTTTGGTCACTTACTGTGGCCGTTACATGCCACAAGCTGGTGATTGCATTTTACGTCGGATTACAGATGCTTTCAGACAGGACGAAGCCATTGCTAGCGCACTGTTCAATATTGCTTTTTGCTGTCACGTCTCCGATGGGTATTGGCGTGGGCACTCTAGTCAGCAATCTCGAAGAAACAAACTCTGTGGTCCTGTTTTCAGTCATTCTACAAGGATTAGCTACAGGCACGTTAATGTATGTGGTTTTCTTTGAAGTGCTCAAACCGTCTGTTGGAAGTTTACCAATTAAACAAAGAATATTACGACTAATATTTATTGCTATTGGTTTTGTATCGATGCTTTCCATTCAACTGCTTATATCAGAATCCGAATAATATTTTCTTAGCTAATTTACATAGACTTGAACGAATATATCTAATTATGTTGGATAGTTGTGTACTTGTGTATGATTATGTGTCCATTTGTCCATTTACCTACCTACCTATACGATTACCAATTGGACGTATGATATGTATTTATATATGTTATGATATTATAAATATGATAATAATTTATTAATATATTATATTATACATCATGAAGAATAGTGAAATGTACCTAAAAACTTATAGCTAAAAAATAGGTGGCCATACTGAAATAATAAGTCTTAGTATTACAATTTACAGAATAAAAATATACCTATATAACACAATCATTTACAGTCTTAAAAGATTACTCTACAGTAGAACGATTGAAACTTGAAACAATCATTGACTATTTAATAGGTATTAAAATGGTATTGCTAATTTTATGAAAAGTATATCTCATCACTTGGGCGTATATAATTACAATAAAACAGTAAAAATGTATCAGTTCCGCTTCATCTGATTGGTTCACATTTATATTCTATACGAGGTTTTTCAGTGGGCCCAGTTTTCATTGCGTATGAAATTCAAATGAAATAATAAAAGTACGTCATTCGTATAAATATTTAATTTGTACGAGATTTTTTAGTTATATTATTCTATTTATTGGACTCTTTGCATCGGTCAGCGTACCTAAGTAATAGAACTCATAAACCCTCTTCTTAAGAAGGACTGTTTTATCTCTTAGTGGCTAAGTAGATAGCATATTAAACGCAATTCGACAAATACAAAAAATATCAAAGTTAATAATTACTAAAATTAAAGGAACGAACAAATTTAGAATAACAAATTATACTATCGAAAATATATACAATAACTTGTGACATATTATTTATAATAAATAAATGTATTTTCATTTGTTTAATTGTAATCAATAAGAGTAAGAAAGTAGTTATACAGTATAATATAAGCTATATTGGTATATATAAGATATAACCAATTTAAGTGTACCTAATATGTTTTTAAATTAAGAAATATAAAGTTAAGTATTTACTAAATTATTCATTTGTATTACCTACTTAATGACTAATAAATATATTTTACTTTAGATTATAATCACATATTTTTATATTTTTTCTAAATGGTCAATTTTATATTTTAAAAAATATATTTAATATTTTTAAACACAAAAAACTTTGTACTGTGAATTTTTTATTATTACAATATTAAGAAAATCTTATGGGTACGATTACCTATGTAAAAAATAAATTTACTATGTGCATTGCAATAGTGATTTTATACTTTCATGTATCTTATTCTATCACAAATTCACTGAATAAATACCTAATTATTTTTATCTTATATATTTTATATGACCATTTATTATTTAATAATAATAATTTTAATATGACATGAGTGTTTTGTTTATAAAATGTATTATTTGGGACTGTGTACTTGGTATAATATACAAACTAATAAAGTTAAAACTATACAATACTAAACTAAACACGGTCTAGGACATTTCGGCGTGGCCACTTCGGCGTGGCCATTTCGGCGTAGGGCCGTTTCGGCGTAGGGCCTTTTCGGCGTAGAGCCATTTTAAGAAATTAGGTAAGTCACTATAAAATATAAATATAATAAATAAATAAATAAATAATAATAAATAATAAAAAATAAATAAATAATACAAATTTAATTAAAATAAGGAGAATGCTATTAAAATTACAAATAAAAATATTCAGGTCATCATACTTAAATTATGTGCTATTCCTCTTAAAAAACTCATAATATTACGATTATCATAATCGCTGACTAATTTTAAAATACGTTTTTCGACGTCAATGTATTTTTTTTTCTTTTTTGGTGGACTTTTGCCTGTTTCTAATTTGCAAAAGAAGGTGTCTCGGCCACTTTGTATTCTCCTTAAACATGATATAAATGCCCATAGTGTCGGGTGGTCAACGGCCATTTGTAGATTAAGCCGACGAAAAATAATTAAATGAAAAAAGGACTACGCCGAAATAGACCCACGCCGAAAAGGCTCTACGCCGAACCAGCTACGCCGAGATGGCCACGCCGAAGTGTCCACGCCGAAATGGACACGCCGAAATGTCCGGATACGAACTAAACAGTAGTTAATAGTTTAGAGTTGATACTGAGATTAGATAATAATAATATTATGTAAGAGTAACCATACTAATTACACATGTAAAAGTTAATATTTGTGTTTTTACTTTAAATAAACTTTTGTTGATTTTTGGAAACTGTTTTAAATATTGTACGACAGAATTGTAAAATACCTAACCAATAGGGTACCTATAACAATTGTAAGTACTTAGCTTTACAATTTGTAGTATATTCTACAACCTATTTTACCTACTATATAGTATTCTACAATACAATTATTAGTTGATAGTAAATACTTATTACAGTTATACATACTTCCCTACGGACATTAACAGACTACCGGACATTTTAAATATCTTATTATTAAAATCAATTCCGTTTATATACATGCAAGAAACTCTAGCTGAGCTCGACTCTGACCATGTACCAGAAAAAATCACAATAAATTCGTCTTCTCAATCTTATCAGTTCAATAATTCACTAATTACAGGTAAACCAAACTGGGATATATATTCTAATCAAATAAAAACAAATTTAAAAATACCAAATAGTATACCTTCTATCCAGGCGGCGGAACAAACGTCTGAACATCTAATTATTGTTATTTCAGAAGCCGCACAAGCCTGCTTCAAATCTACGACAAATAATAATTCTAAAAATATAGGTTTTTTACTTCACTTTATATTATCTTTAATACGTCAGAAACATATCGCTAGACGCAAATGACAAATCCAAAGAAACCCGAAGGTTAAAAAACTATTAAATCAACTCACCAAAGAAGTCAAAATAGAGCTACAGAACCACCATGTATCGTCTTATAATAACTATTTATCAAATATCCAACCGGGTGACACAAATTTATGGAAAGCATCCAACTAGTCAACTGTAAAATCAAGAAATTAAACACTATTCCTCCTCTTCGTAAAGACAACCCACTAGTGACATCTGATGCCGAAAAATTCAACGTCTTCTCAGAAATGTTATTTAACACGTTCTCTGTAAATCAAATCACTAATACTAACAACGACCGTAGAGTTCTTATTTTTTTAGATCTACCTAATTACTCTGTCCAGAAACCCATGGTGCACGCAACGCCTAATGAAATTAAACTAATTATTAAAAAATTACCAAACAAAAAAGCACCAGGGCACGATCGCATCACGAATATCATGTTCAAGAAGCTACCCGCTATAGGTCTCGTCCTTATGACTGCATTATTTAATTCACTGTTAAGACTTGAACACGTCTCACCGAAGTGGAAAATAGCAACAGTCATACTTATTACTTATCAAAAAACCCGGTAAGGATAAATCGAATCCGGACTCCTATAGACCAATAAGTCTTTTAACCTCTTTATCCAAAATATTTGAAAAAGTTATTCACACTGGGTTACAAGATTTCTTAAATAGCTTGGACACTATTCCTAAATTCCAATTCAACAGTTCAACAACTGTTTCGTATAACCATTAACCAAGCATATCAGCACTTCCTTTGAAGAGCACTGTCACACGGGTGCCGTCTTTATTGATATATCAAAGGCTTTCGACAAAGTATGACACACAGGTCTATGTATAAATTAAAAAGTATAAACACACCAAAATACTTATTTCATATTATTAAATCCTTTCTTTCGAACAGACAATTTTCAGTAAAAATAAACGACTCCCTCTCTGACCTGCAGCCTATCACTTATTCACTTGTACCCCAAGCTGTCCCCTATATTATTTAACATTTATATATCTAATATCCCACAGTCACCACGTACCAATATTGCCCTTTTCGCAGATGATACGACTATTTATAGTGAATCCCGTAATATAGACGTGGTAACTCATAACCTACAAAGTCCATTAAATGTATTATCAGCATGGTGTAAAAACTAGAAGATTCAAATAAACGCGTCAAAAAGTACAGCCATCATTTTCAGCCTCCATCGCTACTTCACACCACTGCCATTAAAATTCGACAACGTGCCCATACCTTGGAAACCGTCTGTCAAATATCTCAGAGTAGTCTTGATAAGAGGTTGACCTGGGGGCCACACTTATCAACAAAACTACAACTAGTATATCAACGTCTATCGATGCTATTTCCAATAATAAATAAAAAATCAATCATTTAAAAAAAATGTTTAACCTTTACATACAAGCAACTTCTACTGTCATTAATCACTTATGCTTGCCCGGTATGGGGGAACTGTTCGGCTACACACTTAAAAAAATCCAAATATTCCAAAATAAAGTGCTAAAAATTATTACAAATGCTCCGCACGTGGTTCATACGTAATGAAAATATTCATAAAGACCCACAAATTGTTTAAATCTGATACGTAGACCTTATACGCACACTATCAAGAAAATTCCATAATTCATTACTCAACTCAACAGGCTCACTTCACTACAATCTCCATATTCATCCAGCACTCCAACGAAGTCTAAGACGTGGCCGCCCTCACGACCCCATTAGTCAAAATCAACCTCCAGTCTAATCTGTATTTGTTTACTGTAGTAAATAATTTTCGATTTTAGTATCTGAAATCATACTGTTATCATATTGTAATTGTTTAATATTTAGTTCATTAATTGTATATACATAATACATCTATCCATATTGTGTACATGTATAAATATTCTTTTAAAATAGCTACAAACTAATATTGTCCTCTATTATCCATAGATATAGATAGCTTACGGCTAGGAATGTCTTATTTTATAAATAAATATAAAAAAAAAACAGTTATACATATTTGTATAATCGTTAATTTTAAATTAAAACTCATAAGTTTTGCCATTTGCCACTACCCACTGATCAGGTTTATTTCAAGAATACAATTTGAAATTAATAATTTATAGAAAAAAAGGATTCATTGTAGATATACCAACTGACCCACTGACTATTCCGATGTTATACTCTGATACTCATAACCGTTAAAGTTGTATTCACCCATTTATCAAAATATTATTTTTTAACAATCAATTATAAAAAGTAAAACATTTTGAAGAGTTTCTTGAATACAATTTTCTATGTAAAAATAGAATAAATAGTTGTATATCGCTTCAAAAGACAGTACGGCCCTTAAACGGTAAATACAACTAAAATTTAAATAAACGGATTATTTTTGTATTATTATTTAATTAATTGTGTCAACATATCATATCTTATATTTGTGCAATGTTTTATTGACGGATAAGAAAGGAGTAAAGAAGCTTGGTTATTCGCAGTGCATAGCAGTATTTTGTCTTGGAAATAGGTGGCCAGAGGGATTTGTACTTATTGAGATCTGCAGTCGATAGTGGTCAGTGACTCGAGGGGCCCTGCTCGAGTTGCCTTAAAATTATGATCGATTTATAATGTTATAAACACAAATTTCGTTGTCAAAATTATATTTAATCCGTTACTAATATTTTTTGATGAACAAAAATAATATTTATCACCAGGGCTTTTCCTATTTTTATGGTTTGACATAAAATCTAGCAGAGTTCTATAGAAGTGTATGCCACGTTACATCACGTTCAATTATGAAATTTAGAAGTGCTATAATCACCGATTTTTTTTTTAAATGCTTATTTCTAATATTTCTGATTATTTTTAGTTGTATGCATGTCTCTGCTGATATTTACGTCCTATCTTGGATATAGATATATGCCACTGACAAAGACAAAGAAATTTTAGTTAATTTATGTTTTTTTTTTGTTTTTGTTCACAGTAAACCTAGGACTAACAATAATTTTTCTCCTTTGTATCATATTTCCTAATAATAAGCACCGGAACTCTTATTTTTTCGCTTATCTACTAATCGGACAGTCAATTTCTTTCAGTTATTAGAAATGTTTTCAAAAACTCTAAAAGTTTTAATTTTCTTAACGATGAATTTTTTTTTGTTTTTAAGTATAAAAATTAAACCATAATAAATTTTAAAAAATGTGTTGATAGTTTTTGTAGTGCTTTTTCAGATTTTATTTTGATGATTATAAGTACTACACCTAAGTCTCAAACTTTGTTTATTACCATTTACCATTATAAGTTTAAATGTATAGTATAATTTTAATTTATATTCAATTCTATTACAAATATTAAAATATTTAGGTATTTATTACTTTATTATATTATTGTATATATAGCCGTAGTCATTAACATCTATAACTCAAAGTCTAACTTTCTATTTTAAAGACTTAAAAATATATATTCTGCAAAACATCAAATTTGGTATGTTATGAGTTAGTATGAAAAAGTCACGGAACAACATATGCGAGTATGATGTCCTCTTAATTATTATTGTTATTTGATAATTTGATATGTTTTAATTATTCGTAGTAAAAACATTTGAAAGACAACATACTACAGACACGTATAGGTATTTTATTTATTTTTAAAATACCCATACTTGAATAAAATATTATCATCTGACATCTAGACTCTAGGATGTAGCCATGTAGGTATAAGTGCAAAAATTCATTAAAAAAAGAAGGCAAGATAGATCCCCCTATCCCACATAAATACGTCACTGATGTACCTATGTATATATCGGTAGTGCATATACTAATAACTAGTATGTAGTAGGAAGTACTTAGTATCATAAAATACTAATAAAAATAACTACCTACATTATTTTTAGAAAAAAAAAACCAATATGACTATTAACTTATGACTATACGCAGTATACAATATTGAATAAACCTAGGTACTATTATATGTTTATTACCACTTAGGTATACCTATCTGTACCTCCTTAGGTTTATAGTATATATTCTTACCTTAGACATGAGCTTTTGCCTTTTGGCTACACATGTATAGTTAATATACATAAAATAAAAACAATTAACTATGAAGATTACTATCAAAAAGTTTACTATAGTCATAAAAATTAATATTATATTTTAAGGTACTTACTATAATATAAATATTAATAAACTATTAATAGGGATTATTAATAGATTCCACACACTAGTAAGAATGTTTTTTTTTGTGTTATTCGCAAATTATTAACATCAGATGCTCATGAAAAATATTTGTGGAATTCAGCTCAACTTTTTTTATAGTTTTTGCAAAAATGTTAATGGAACATAATCAACAAGATCCAATTTGCTACCAGACACCACCTTTTAGTTGAAAATCAAAGAATTTTTTCTGCTCGAAAAGGTGATAATAGACACATAAATGAAAAACACATAATTGTGAGATTAACGCATTCATCAGAATCTAAATTATATATTATAAATATAAACCAAAGTAATTTTAGAATATATTATTTTATATTTATAGTGCCGCGTATACCAGTGGTATAAAATGGTTATAGCAAAAAAAGATAAGAAACTACTCATTTTACATCATTGTTTCATTTATAGATTTCTTGGGAGTGATAGCTTCATGCGAATTTGCAATTAAAATTACTGACAATTAATGCTCTAAAATATACAGATAATTTTTTTATTTATTCAATATTACTATGGAGAAAAATAAAATATATATACATTTATTCTCAATCAGCACTTTGGCCCAATGGATCACCTACAGCCTATAAAATACGATTTTTTGATTCTATATGTTATAAAGGTATAACTAACCAAAATATGTGTATTCATTTTAAGCAAGATGACATACACTAATATCCTTGTATACGAGTAGTTAATAATATATAATATAAATCATATTTTTGAAGTTTATACAATTTGGTGATAGCCGGTAGGTACCTACCTGCACGTTTATAGTATTTGGCACATGGTGCCTGGTATAGTAAAATGTACAAAATATATAGATATTATAGATATTATGAACATAAAATAAGGAAAAATAATAAGTAACAAAGATTAAAATAGATTATTCTAAATATAATAGCAGTTATTAATATAAAATATTGCAGAGTTTATTTTCTACAAGAAACTCAATAAATATAAATTGATTTTGTTTTTAGGTTTGAATAATGTAGGACGGGTAGGTACTTTTAGGTGACCTCATAAGTTTTTATGTGGGTAGGTAGGTAACAAAAGCGCGGAAAAATTATTTAAGTTTACACCACCCACATAAAAATATAGAATTCAGGTAAATTAAAATTTGAATATTTAAAACGTTTTTTTAATCATTTATTTTGTGTTTTGCTTATTTTAGATTTTTTTTCCTTCAGAGTTTTGAGTTCATCCCATACACCCCTACACAGCTAACTATAATCAGTATACGCCAAAGCTGCGTAGGCAAGCACCTACCACGAATCGCGTTTGTTAGGGTCACGTTATGAATTATTAACTAACGACTATGCTACTTATGTTATTATTATTATCGTCGTCCAAACACGTCACGTTGCCAAACGGTCAGACGGTCTTCGTGTAGTCGTGTGTATACATTGCATTTTCTCATCTCAGTATCACACTGCTCGCCGTTCGCTCGCTGCTGGCCACGAAATAATTGCAATTTATATTACGTCATCGCGTACGTCACGAGTACTATCACTATCATCGACTGGAGGTGGTATCAACTACAACAGCAATAACAAAAAAATCGTACTATCGTAGTCAACGGACTACGACGACCTGTGCGCACCGGCGGCGCCGGTAACAGGACAACCGATTCGCAACGCCGAGCCGCCCGAAAACGTTGGTCCGGCGGCGGCACGGCAGATTCGCACGATCCGGAGTACGAGATTAAAACGCGGTAAAGTAAACAAACAAACAAAAAAAAACAACAAAACACGAAACGACGCGGCACGACCGTCCGTAACAATACGAAACGCCGCAACACTTTATTTTTTAACGGTCATACTGGAGACGCGCTGCAGTCGACCTCGGGTGAATGTTTTTCGTATTGACGAGGTCGCCGGTCTACAACAAGAGTTGTGGTGGTTGCAGTGCTGCGGGTGCAACTTGTGGGGTAGGTACAGGCGGTTATTATGTCCCTGAAAGTATTTAAAGAGCACGCCGAGTTGTTTCCGATCCGCGACGTACCCGCTGTGGTGGACGTGTTCCGCAGGGAGCTGGAAAAAAAAGAACCGGACCTGTTGCTGCTGTCGCTGGTGGCTGGCGCCATCGAGAACACGATGACTTGTATCCGACCGACCACCGAAATGCCGGTCATCGTCACGGCCGAAACCAACTTTGACTTTGATCAGGTGCCACTGAGGCTGCCTGACGTCGAGCTGCACATTGTAGAAGCTCTGTACACAAAATTCTACTCGGTCATCAAGAGCAGCGTTGACCCATTGCATTTTGATGACCGAGACGGACATGCCAGCCGAGAACTCGTGAAAAGGGTGTCCGACGTCATATGGAACACACTTACTAGAAGTTATTATAAGGACAGAGCGCACTTGCAAAGCATGTATAGCTATTTAACAGGTGAGTGAAAATTTTTTAAAACATAGCCCATAGGTACTATCGCCAACAAATATGTTATCATATAAAATATTTTTGTTTAGGTTCAAAATTGGATTGTTTTGGTGTTGCATTTGCTGTAGTAGCTGCTTGTCAAATACTCGGTTACAATGATGTTCATTTGGCTTTGTCTGAAGACCACGCATGGGTTGTATTTGGTCCAGATGGTAGTGAAAACGCAGAAGTTACGTGGCATGGTAATTTTTCATGATACCAATATTCAATTTAAGTATTTTGAGGAACATTATTCCTTTATATTATGGTTGTTTAGTATGAGTGTTAATGATTTGAATAGTTTCTATAAGTAAAAGTAATTATAAAAGAAATGTTATATTTAAAATTATAAGCTATAAATAAAATTCTGTAATGCTTTTTTACTGTCGTATTGCCATAGACTTTTATAAGTTATAAAAAAGTTAATCATCATATTTATCTTACACGTGAATACACAATAACTCCGCCAGACATTGGGTCGGTGATAGCTACTCTCTTGATGGTATGGGGTGTAAGTAATAGTGTCTGTGCATGTAGATGACCTTCACTATTGTGCGAGATGCGTTGGTAGCGGTTATGTGTTAATATTTTGTCAGAAGTATGTTTTAAATTATTTAATGTGTAGAATAATTAATTTGACTAAGTGTTTAATTTCAGGAAAAGGAAATGAAGATAAACGTGGACAAAAAATTAAAGATTCAGGACCTGGTCATAGGTCGTGGCTATATGTTAATGGCCATCCCGTAGTTTGTAATAGGCATATGGAAGTATCAGCATTAGTTAGTTCTATTAACCCAAGTATTAATCAATCTAATGATGCTTTGGAAGTTGCCACTCTTCAAAAAAATCTTTTGTGGCTTCTTTATGACGAAGGACACTTATCAAAATTTCCACTTGCTCTAGGTAATTTCAAACTTTTGAATTTATTAGTTCAAGATTTAACATATAAATTACTGTTTTCTAGGTAACTTGGGTGATTTGGAAGAGTTAAATGCAACACCTGGAAGACCTCCTTGTACAGCCTTGTTTGAAGAAGCTATTTCAGCTGCTCGTATATACTACAGTGATATGTTTGTCTATCCATATACTTACCAAGGTGGATATTTCTACAGACACAACATGATTAAAGATGCTTTTGCAAGTTGGGCCAACGCTAGTCAAGTTATAAGCAAGTAGGATAAATTTCAAATATACTATTACTTCAGACTTCCTTAATAATTGATTAATGCAGTTGATTTTTTAATGATCTCATTTTAGATATAGTTTTAGTAAAGATGATGAAGAATTATATAAAGAAATGATGGATATTGCTTATGAATTAATACCATACTCATTGAAAGAAATGACATGTGGCAAAAGTCGGTCAATATTGAATAATCCACAATGTTATGCGTATGTGTTATTAATTTATGATGGTCTTTGTCTTTGGGAAGAAGATGGAACAACCCCAGTATTACACATTAAATGGGCAAAACATTTTATAAATTCCATTTCTAAGTTTGATGATAGTGTGAGAACAAGACTTATCATATTAGAACCAAAAGTATGGCATATTGTTTCTAAATTATCTAAATTATAATTATTTTGTAGCAACAAAATTACAATTAAAAAAGTATTCCATAAAAGTTTTTCTGTTTTTCATTTTATATAGGTATTTTTTTTTTGTATTTTACATTTAATTTTACTAATATTTTACTATAATGTTGTTTTTAGGATTCAGAAAATGATAGTAGTCTAATGCAATATTATCATGATAATAACATGAATAATAATAATCGCCCATTGCCTAAAGACATTTTAAATACTATACCTGGCACAGAAGAAGAAACTAAATCAGAACTCCACCCTGGCATAGAAGCACTTACTGCAGCGTGTAGTGAGCGAATTTTGAATAGAGAGTTTTTACTGCAAGGTGGTGGAGAACCTTTTGTGGGTAGTTCTGATGAATTGCTTACTCCTACTACACCTCAAACACCTATTTTAGAAACAACATTAAAAGATGATGAACCTGAAACTAAAATTGTGTTGAAAAGTAAGAAGATGAGAAGCATGAAAGATTTACTAATTGCAAAGAAATTGAATACACAAGCAATTAGTTTACAAATAAGTGCTCAGTCTCAAGGTGGAAAACGTCATGCACCTAGAGATACTGCGGAACCAATATCCAGGCGGAGTAGAAGAAGTAACAACTAATTAAATGTATACTAAAAATGCATTAAGTGTAAGTGCAATTTTTTCTTTCAAAAGTAATTTACTTTATTTTATATTGAAAGACTATTATAATGTTACTTATATTTTAGGAGTTTAAGTTCTTTACTATGACTTATAGTTGAGACCCGTTTTTTATTTAGAATCTCTTATTTAAGATACTTAATCTATATATTATATTTAAAAAAAACATAGGTATTAATAATATTAAAAATTATAATAAGAAGTAATAATAATGTTAATAATTTGACAAAAAAAATTATTTGATAATGATAAAATGTTGAATTTGACAAAGTGATTAATTAGTGTTACCATAAAAAAAATATAATATTTTACAAATATTAAACTTAAAATTAGTTAAATCCTAAATTGTTGTGATTTAAAATGAAACATTTTTATTTTGCATGACAAAATTATTAGTTTAAGGTATAGACTAAACAACGATGTAGTAATGTCTACTAAATACAAATTTTACCGTAGCGCAACCAAGGATATTATGTTGCAATTAATTAATTAGAAAAATGTAGGAAAGCTCCAATTATTTTGTTTGTGTAAAACCCAATCATTTTCAATGCTTTTTTTATACGATCACCTTTACAGTATAATTACAATAAAAGTCAAAATAATAATTAGAAACTTATATTATTCATACAATTCTATTAAGTACTTGCTGTTGCGTAGTCAATGGTATCTTTACTATGGAAGAACAACATTTTTATTTTGTACCTTTATAATATTAAGTAAATTATAGACTTGACATTATTGTACCTATAAATATAGCCTATAGGGTATAAATTAAAATACATACAAAAAATAGCATTAATTGTCTAAAAAACCATCGAATCTCACTCTCACCAAAACTCTTCAATTTTATTTTCAAAGCAAGTACTCCCATTGCTGAGTTTTAGACTGGAATGCAATGAAATATATTCTGTATACCTAGGACTAGATAAAATTTATTTTTTATTCTTGCATTATTTTACCAACTTAGTACAATCATTTAGATCGATTATATCTATGATATATATTTTGTTTAAATCAATAGTATATAATTTTATTTAACACCCTCCTTAGAAATTTCTGATTGCGCTACTTATACACTTATTCAACTTTAAATTTTCACATTCTGTATTGTTGTTTAGTTTTAGGTACTTCTATTTAAATATCTTATGACTCTAAGTCACCATTGTAAAATTGTAATTATGTCTATAATATTATAGAATACAATAGTAGGTACCTTGAAATTTTGTTTGACTTAAAACTACAGAAATGGGCATAAAGTGTAATAATATTAAATACTTTAAAAAAAAAACGTATAAATAATTAATTTAATTTAAGTATTTTAGATAAATACATTTTTACAATACTTCTCCAACAATTAAGTGTAATTAAAAAAAAAAAAACAAGTTTAATAAAAACTTAAATTAATTATACTTCTAAAAAATTTAAGTGACTTCTAATTATCCTGCATTTTTTAATGCATGAATTATTCAATATTATTTATCTCCTATTGTGTTTATCTGAATTCAGAAAAATTTGAAATTCTATGTAGTGCTTAACTATAAATACCCTAACATTTTTATGAAATTATTGTTGTCTGTGTTTACTTGCCAATAAGTTACGATTTGTATTTAATATTTAATATAGTAGGTAGTTTTTTTTTAAATAGTCATAGGCATAACTAAGAATCTGCTTAGACTGCTCTAAATCTTACCTGAGCCCTCACAAAATGTATGAATAATCATATTGTAGATTTCCAAAACAATGAAATTTTAAATATTTAGCCTCTACCTTTAGTAGTTGTATAGTTCCACCTATAAATATAGATAATGTGTATAATTATTAATTACAAAAAGTAATTTTAATCATTCCAACTCCCAAATTAGTATTAATATTACAGGGTTCGCATTACACGTTTTGAATTTACTATACTGAAAATGTGACATAACTGTTATAGTTATGCTTATGACTTATAAGCAATCTTAAAATGTGATCTTTAATTAATGAGATCACTATGTTTTTAAGGGTTTAGTAACCTGTGATAATGAAATAACCATTTTATAATTTGTATTTATAAATATTTTTACATTATTCTTCATGTTATTCTTTTGTCTAAATGTAATTTAATACAATATCTCCTCATCTTTACATTTTTTTATTTTTATTTTTTTGTTGAATAATTCTTATCTTTCTGTTTATTGTTTATTACTTATTTCTTACTGTTATATTTATATTTCAAAAATAGTCTTAAATAACTTTGTTTCCATTGTCTTTTGGTTTTTGAAGATAGTTTATAATTTATTAATAGTATCTTAAGTTAGTAAGAACTAGTCAAACTAGCATATAACAGTGTAATAATAAGCCTGTAATTTATTAAATCCCAATATAACAGGAGTGAGGGGGGAGGCCAATCGAGATTAAAATATTTGGCTGATTGCATTTTATATTCAAATCTAATGATATAAGAATTACCATTCATAGCCAAACACACTCACTCCCATATTTTTTTTTACATTATACATTTAATCAAATTAGAATTTTAGAATTTTTAAGTATACTCAAGTGAACATTTTTTATACTATCTAAAGAGTGTCATATTGTAGTTGTGCAAACTTCATTTCTTTTCAAATAAAAACCCATCTTTTTACTGTAAATTGTTATGAAAGCAGATTTTTTTTTTAATTTTAATAATCTAAATCAAAATTGGAAGTAGTACCTCTCATTTTCCTGAGTTATTAAAATGTATATACTTAGGATAATAGTTATTTAAAATGAATGTAAAATTTGATCTAGATTAAACATATTACAAGTATCATAAGATATTATTAGATTAATAACATAATATTTAATATAATTTTCAAATCATTATATCTTCTAAACCTAATGTCATAGACATATTATCCTTAGTACAAAAACTTAAATTATTCAAAAACTACTCATTCAAATTTTTGATTTAAACAAATAAAAATGTTCAAAAATGGCATCTGCTAAATAATTTACAGGAAAAAAATATGGTTGTTATTTGGAAAAAAAAGTTGGTATAGCCACAGTACAGTCCTTAAGAGGTATACAAAACTCTTGTTCTTGAATGTGTTAAAAAATTCAAAATATCAGAATACCAGAATTTAAATAAATAGATTATTTAAGGGAAAGGGGGCAAGCCCTGAGGATGCTTGGTAAATCATTCTATGTCAGGGGTGGCAATCAATAAGAAAATCTTAAGCCACATAGTTTAATGACAAATATGAAACAGCCAAGAACAGGGGAAAAAAGGTTCTCAATTATCGTAAATATGATAAGATATTAAATTCAATCAAATCTGTAAAATGTGCAACAATATTATTATGTACAATAATGTTAGATTAAATTTTGTCTTGACATCTGTTAATATCATATCTATTGTAGTGAAAATGTTAGGCCACCCCTGCTATATACATAATATAAGCATGTATTACTATTATTCACAATGATACGAAAGGGCACTCGTTGAACAAATAATCCAATATAATAACTCTAAACCCGGCAGCTGAGACCTGCAGAGAGCTCATAATTCCTTTGAAACCCGACCCTGCAATCTAGACATTCAATATTTTTTAAGTTTTTATTTTGTTATGCCAACTATTTTAACAATTTTCTTATTTATGAGTTACCTTTGAAGATAATTGAAATTTTAAATTCTTTAATGACAATATTATACCCAATAATTTGTTTATTGCCTCTTGTTTGACGTATCATTGTTATGTTTTATCTTGTTTTATTTTTAATGAGTATTATTTAAAATTCATATGATATATATATATATTTTTGTAAAATGAAATTTTGAACCTAGTCCTTGCAATTATTATCTAACTAACATCCCAAATTTTTTTGTTTACCAATATTTGTGAAAAATGTATGATACATTACCTAAAAAAATTTGTTAAATATTTATAAATGTTTTATTTCATGACAATAGCTATAGGCTATTATACAATCTAGTGATTTGTTCTATATTCTATGTAATTCAAATACAATTTTTACCATTAAAATAATAATAATAATTGTATTTAATAAATTGTAATCATTGAGCTATACTGATATATACATTTAAGATGATGAATATTAAAGACAGATTCAAGAGTAAATAGTATTTAAACTGAGCTTTGATTTTAATTATTTTATATGTATAGGTAAATAGGAACTCATATCTTTATTATTAATATTTTTTAGAAGTAATTATATTTCTTAATATAATGTTGAAAGTTATCTCTAATGATTTACTTTAAGTATTATCTTAAACAGTTAGTTGATTGTAACGTTGGTTTTTGCGGTTTTTGCAAGTTTGAAACTTATGTATGGTAATAAAACCATTTGAAAATACTATGATTTTTTATATATTTTTGTAATTACACAATAACCAATATTAGTACAGACTTGGGACCTCTTATAAATTCCTTTGAAATAGTATTAACCTACATTTTTATTTTTTATTTTTTCTAAAATGTTTAAAATTGGCTTTATCAAACCTTAAAAATACTTACTCTGACATACTCCTAAAAATTAAACTATGCTTATCTCATGTTATCTTTGTTTCATATTTATAATTTATATTCATTTGAATTTCAAAAGTTCTACTTTTAAATTTTAAATTAATAGATATGGATTGTTTTCCAAAAACTAATGATAAATATAAAATCATTGATTGCAAAATATGTATCTACCTAATGTCTTCTTATCATGAAGTGCATTTTAAAAAAAAACAATTCTTGAATTAATGTCTTTAACATGCATAACATTACATATTCGACAGCCCAACATCTTCATTATAAGGATTGATGGCCAATTGTTTTATCACTTTACATATGTATCACATAATTTCTTTTAATCTTTTTTAATTACTGTCTGTTATTTAACGTATGTACAGCATATTTTATACAGTATTTTTTTTATAACATATTTTAAATTATTAAAATAAGAATATTTTTTAGTTGCAATTGTTAACCGTATCCAATATTTTAATTGTCTTCCGTAAATAATTTGTATGTATTAAATTATTTAAAGTATTATGTTGATAGCAAATTGTCTATCATATATTTTTGTTTCTATTAAATCAAGTCTTAGGTAGCATTATAAAATTCTGCAATATAAAAATATAACAGTACAGGTAAAAATAACAACAAATGTTTTATAATATATTATATATGTGGAAAACTATATGTAACATTTTTATGTTTAATTATACACATCACAATGTTAAATACCCTAGTAGTATTTATAAGAACTATTATACATATTAAATTTAAGATCAGTTAATTTTACAATTTTTAATTTTCATTCATGATACATTAAAAATTATCGTGATTATGTTGCTTTTGAAAATATTTTATTTTTCATAAATAACTTTGTTTCAGTATTTGGTTAAGTTTTCAGCATTATATAAAAAAGTTAAGTGAGTTATTATGAATATTTGTTATGATAATGTTTGTCTATATTTATTTAGGATTGGGTATATTTACTTCAATTTATTGTTCGCCGTAGTTTTTTTTTTTTTTTTGCTTTACTGTTTGTTTTATTTTTACCGTTAAATAACATTAATTATACCTATTCTTGATAAAATAAAATGTATGACATTGTGCTTTGAAGTTTAACATATTTTTATTCTAAACCTTAAACAAATCTATCCTAAATCCTTAAAAACCAACAATGGAACTATCAGTTGTATAGTATCGAAATAAAATTTGTTTAGAACTAATTAGTGAAATTAATGTGTACACTAGATTATTATAGGCTAAGATACAAAGGTCATTTTTTTTCCAAATTATAACAACAAAATCAATATGTTTTATCATTAATTTTATTAACAGTTCTTAACATAATTTAATCACATAAAATATTTCTATACAACAGTTAAGTTAATATTTTATTTTATTTCGCCCATTTTGGTATATAAATAATAATAGTAAATACTAACTAATATTCTTCAAATAAACAATAATTTAAATCATAAAATTCTAGACTGATAAAATTCTGTTTCAATGCGTACACATAATTGAACTAGATTGTCATAAGCTCTGACAGTAGCAGCAAATCGATTGTTTAGTAGTGGTGTTGTTATGATGGAAAACAAATGACCAAATACTAAAGCGTCCAACTCAGTCGGCCTGAAAAATATTTCATTAATAAAATTAATATTTCATACATAAATAATTAATAATATACTTTTCATGAAAAAAATATTTCTTGTCCCCCAAAAAGTTTGACAATGATTCACAGATTCTTTCCACCTCCTTAAATACTTCGTCTAAAGACTTTTTTTTCCAACCTAACACATCTAAATGTGATAACATTTCACGGCGCTTATTATATGTAGCCCAGTGGTTCAATGGGAAAGGATAAACGGAACTGTATCTTGGCTTGGTAAGTTCTTTATAAGTAAGCTCGTGGTTCCATGTAACATAAATCTAAATATAATTAAAATGATGTAATTGTTTTTAAAATAATATTCTGTAAACTAACCTCAGCATTTAAAAGAACATTATTCACTAGTGCCATGTATACTCTAAGATCCCACTTTTGAGCTTCATCTAAACTTGTTGATAGCGAATAACCCTGAATGTAAATGTATTAATATATAATTAAATTGAATACTTAAAAAAATGTTAATCTCACTTTAGATTGAGCAAAACTGACGATTGGTTCAAAGTCAGCAACTAAAAACTGGCCTGCTTTAATGAAAGGCACTTTGCCTCGATGTGGTGACATATATTCAGCATTTTCTCTTGCTTCTACAATGAATTCTAATCCAGCCATTTTTAAAAATGTCTTAACCGATAAACATTTAGAGTTATCAGGTAATAAGATTTGTTCTGTTTCATAAGGCTGATATATTACTGTGTTTTTTGGCCACTCACCTTCACCTGTATAATAATGAGGTAAACACATAAATACATGATAAAGAGATTTAAAAACACTATCCTTACCACAAATTTGTGTTCTTAAACATTCTTTTGTCAATATACTTGATGATGTTTTAAAAACTGCCATTGCCAACTACTAATAAACACCAAATAAATATAGTAAGGAATAAGTAATAAATACTGAATAGCTTACATAATTCAATAATATTGTATTTATTTGTTTTAAATTGTTTTTATTTAGTCTTGAATTTATAGGCAATTAAAAATCATAATAACACAAAGATTTAAATAAAATAATTGTTGGCTAATGTAATTATAAACAATGCACCTTGGTAATATACTATAAACAATGCACCTTGGTAATATACTATAAACATTCAAAATATAGTTCATGTAAGACTGCTACAAATATTGTTTAGAATATCATTATTTTATTCTAAGCATCTATCATAATAATTCAAAAAAAATGTCAGACCCGAGGCAAAGTTGTAAAGGACATTTGAATAACTTAAAAACATGGAGAAATCATATTAGAGTCAGACGTTTATGCAGACATTTTGTACTGCCGAATAACAAACTACGGGAATTTATGAACCGGTTAACTTCCTGCATTGATGAAGGACTTGGCAAGGAAACACATCCAAAAGCAACAATAAAATGCTGGCAAACATATGTCCAAGACATGCCTACTGGTAATGAAAAAGGCCAATTCTTAGCTCTTGATTTGGGTGGTTCAAATTTCCGAGTACTCAAACTAGAACTAGGGGAAAATAAACTTTTCAAAATGGATCAAGAAATATACGAGTGTTCAAAGGAGTTGATGAATGGAACAGGAACAATATTGTTTGATTACATAGCTACTTGTTTGAACACATTTGTGACCACACACGGAATAAAAAACAGTAGCACACTCCCTTTGGGTTTCACATTTAGTTTCCCAATGTCACAATCAAGCATTGACTCAGGAGAACTTGCAAGATGGACAAAAGGTTTTACATGCGAAGGTGTAGTTGGTCAAGATGTAGTAAAGCTGTTAGCTAAGTCAATTACTAATATCCCAGACTTAAACGTACACATTTGTGCAATTTTAAATGACACTGTTGGCACTTTAATGTCCTGTGCTTGGTTGAATCCTAAGACCAGGATAGGCTTGATTGTTGGTACAGGTTGTAACTGTTGTTACGTAGAAAAAGTAAATTTGAAAAAAACCAATATTTTTATATTTCTAATAGCTAAATACAGTGTAATTTGTATTTTTAGGTAAAAAATATCCAGTTATATAGTGGTACCGAATCAAAAGAAGAAATGGTTATCAATCTAGAGTGGGGTGCACTTGGAGAAAATAATGAACTTGAAGATTTCCATACTAAATATGACAAAGTTATTGATGAAAATTCTGAAAATCGTGGCCAGCAAATTTTCGAAAAAATGATATCTGGAATGTACCTTGGAGAATTGTTAAGATTGGTATTATTAGACATGATAGAAAAAGAATTAATATTTGATGGTACAAAGCCATCAACGCTTGATACTCCGCAATCATTAACTGCTGATGTGTTATCGCTAATTGAGAATGACCCACCTGGAACTTATGCAGGCACTAGAAAGTTCCTTCAAGGAATTGGTGTGGTTAATCCTACAGACGGTGACTGTATGAATGTCAGATATGCAACAGAGTGCATTTCGAGGAGATCTGCGTATTTAGTGGCAGCTGGACTTACAGCCATATTGAATAAGATGAATGAGAAAGACGTGATAATCGGAGTAGATGGGTCAGTGTATAAATTTCATCCGTTTTATCATAATTTATTAATGAGCAAGATTACTGAATTAGTGAATAGTGGTATAAAATTTGGTATTATACTTTCTGAAGATGGCAGTGGAAGGGGTGCAGCAGTCTTAGCATCAGCGGTTTGTCCAGATTTATAATTCTGTATATTGCTTGATGTTATTATATAAATAAAATTATAATTCTATAGTTTATTTTGTTATTTCTATTTGATATTAAATAATAAATAATTAAACTATAATTAAAAATTATTTTGTATTTGGCAGCCAGTTCAGTTTTTGAGTATGGGTTAAAAATATAATAGGGCTAAATACAAACCAAGGTCTTATACCTCTAAAAGTTAATCTATCTAGATTGTCTATATGTCTAAAAATAAAAAAATCATAGATTCTAGTGTTTGCACAAAACAACAATGCATACACATACATACCTACATGAATTTAAATTAAAAAAAAAATAATTAGCATTTTAATTTACTAATAAACTACCTAGGTCCTACGTACCTAATATCCTTTAATTTATTGCACATCAATCGTTTAAATGTTAAATATACATATAACTATTATGATGATTTTAATTTCATTGCATTGATTTTCGTAATTTTAATTCTAAACACAATATTCAAGAACCAATGCCCAAGTTTATATCGAAATGAAACAGGTTTAAGAAGTTTGACGGTAATACTATTGATTATTATTATATATGGTACTTATTGTATAACTAATGGTAATACTTACAACAAATTGAAATGAAAAACGTGAGGATGAGATAACTACAATTTTTGTTCGGAAAAATGTAACGTTTTCATTTCGTAACTTCAAAATTCGAATTGTTGACTTTACTAAGTTTGTTTTCAATTTAATTGCAAATTGCAATATGCTATAAAGTATAAATCTATAATCACGATTTAAGATAATACTATCTATTTAGTATTTAAATTAAATCATAATATTATTGTGAGCCATAGAACACGTTACTGTCACATTGTTCTATGGGTACAACTGTGTAAACAGTAAGCACAGAATAGATTTCAAATAGTAACTTTCAACGCTTTCACAGTTCACAGACTGAATATCATGACTATTGCGAAAATTATTAGATGAAAATTAAAAATGTAACACTGATGCTCGTCGGCATATTTTCAGCACAAAACCGTTGCAGTACTATATTTTAACCGATGTGTTGTCCACACTGGTTCACGGTTGTGCCGCATTTTCCATTTGCTTATCGAGTTGCCAATTAAATAATCTGAAATTCTGAAATAATAATCACACAAATAAAAAGTCATACGATCACGAGTGATTAACATTCACGGCGCGGCTTACGAGTTTACTTACTTCGGTGTCCCTTGTCCGTGTGCCTGTAGCATTTAAATCAAAATATCGGACTTAGTATTAAGTTTTGAAATTAATTCTTTTCTTGTACTCAATTTAACCAACCATGGCCGAAGCAATGAGACAAACGGTTGCGTCGCTTTTGCAGGGCATTGAAAGGTATGTTAAGTTTGAGCTCATTGTTGGATCCACATATTTTCTACTTGTTCGGCAAATTGGAAGTTCATTTAATTGTTCGCCTTTAGATACAATCCCCAACATTTATCTACACTTGAACACTACGTGGAAGTACAGTCCCAAGAGAACACATACGATCTGGAAGCAAACCTTGCAGTTCTCAAAATATATCAATTTCATCACGATTATAATTTGGATATCACTGTTCAGATCATGCTGAAGGCAATCACCAACTTTCCTCATTCTGATTTTGTGTTGTGCAAATGCCTGTTGAATGAAAAATTGGTAAGCAATACTTCTGTGACGTTCATCCATATTTTTATTTTACCATATTGATTGTACTCAGGGAGTTGGGCACTTTAGATTTTAAGGTTAGACAATTTAATACATTTTTAGATGTCGATACACAGTAATTAGAATACCATAGTCTATTAAGTTCAAGAATTCACCAGGTGTGGTCTGAAAACCATTCTATCAATGTATGTTACGCCGTCAATAGTTGTAGCCTGGTTAATTGCTTCCATACAAAAATATGAATAAAAATATATACTGACGCAATTAAGCCACATTTTAGACTATCACCCGGTGTGTTCTTAATTTAAATACACTATAAGAAGGTATGATGAGCTTATTAATCATTCATATCAATTACCAAATCAGAATTTAAGTAAAATTTTCAAAATAATGATTCATCACATCTTAGCTAAAAATGTAGTAATTAATATTATGTATTCACTTTTGACTATTCAATTTTTTTTAAAGATTTATTTAATGAGTTTTTATAATAATTTAGTGTCAAGAAGCTCCATTAAGTCAAGTATTGTTCTTGGCTGATCTATTGGAAAATTGCAACTTCAAAGAATTTTGGTATAATGTTCATTCCACTCCTGAACTGTATGCTAAAGTCAATGGATTTTTAGATTCTGTTCGCAAGTTTGTGTGTCATGTGATTGGTATAACATTTCAGTCTATTGAAAAACATAATCTTATGGAATTATTGGGAGGTATTGATGGTAAGTAATAATTAATTGTATTCATATTCAATTTAATATAAGTATTAATTAATAGTTATGATTTTCAACAGATGCTGCTCTAAAACACTGGATTCTAAAGTACAATTGGAAGGAATTAGATAACAAATACATATTTGTAGCTAATCAAGATGAAAATATCAAAACAAAAAATATTACTGAGAAAATTGATTATGAAAATATTTTGGGTGTTATGGCAAGTTGTCGTTAAGTTCTAAATGTCGTAAAGTCAAAATACATTTTTATACCAATACTTAAAACATATGTTTATTAATAATAAATAATTTAAAGGATTGGATTATATTATATTTATTGGAATGATTTAAGTATGACCACTCTTCACTTCTATTCTGTAACTAGTTACAGAATTATCAGTTAATTTAATTTTAAAATTTAGTAAATAACAACCTTCTTGAATCTATTTTAAATTATAAAACTAAGTGTACATTGTATAGTAGGAGTATGTTAAATAACATTTAAGTAAAACATAAATGAATGTTGAAAACCATCTGAGCAATGTCTGTTTAACTTTAACTAGTTGCTGCGAAAAATGAGAGCATTTTCATGTGGTTTTAGAAATTCTTCAATTATTGCTTCAACCATTTCATTCAAAACACTTTTCAATCTTTTGACATCACTAAAAAAAAGAATCGAACCTTAGTTAGTTAAATTGTAAAAAAATATTTAAATATTTTTAATTAAATTTGATTTACGGAGAATTTTCAGGATCACTGCATAATTCAGCATAATATTTAATTTTGGGTTCTGTTCCACTCGTTCGTAATGTAGCAATTAAACCATTATCAAAGTTAAATGTTATCATTTGAGTTGATTTTGAAACGGACAATACTGGTTTATGATCTACTGTACTGGAATCATATCCAGTTGTCATATCTCGAACTGATTTGATCAAATATCGTCCTCCAAGAATGAATTTTGGATACTGTAAAAATGATATAGGCAATTCAAACCTTCACCATATTGTTAAGAATGACATTTGATTAAAATTTACATTGTTTGGCTGGTTATTGATTTGCCTTATGGATTCAAATATTTTCTTTATTGTCAGGCTATCATTGCAAATAAAATACGAGTTAACAGATAAATGCCAACCATATCTAAAATAAAATAAAATAAATAAATCATCTGATTTATGTACAGAGTAAACATTGAATTTCAAGTAAAACTGTTACTGTTTGTATATAGATTCTAAAGCTGAGGATAATGTACTATTTTCTTTTTCTAAATATATAGATAGTTCCGCAATTTTAACAGCAGCAGATATTCCATCTTTATCCAAGACCTCACTGCCACACATGTAACCAATAGACTCTTCAAACGCATAAATTACATTATATCCTTCAGCAGAAAGTTGATCGGCTCTATTACCCATCCACTTGAACCCAGTCAGTGTTTCCTAAGAGTTAGAACAAATTATAATGAGTTTGTTTAGAGTGCATACACCAAGGTAATTAAACTAATATATTAATCTTGGTTTATGAGTTTCTGATAAAAAGTAATGTAAGTAACTTACTTCGAATCTGATGCCTTCAATTTTAGCCATAGATTTGAGTATAGCAGATGATACTGTACTTGATAGTACAACCAATTTAGGATGTGTTTTACCGTGTATTTTTTTATACGAATGTATCACCCACCACCCTAACAAAGCACCAAGTTCATTTCCAGTAAATATTTTCCAGCCCTCGCTACCTATCCTAAAATAAAATTTGCCCTTAGTCAATAATATATTTTTACAAAAATGTGAAAATAACTGTGTTACGGATGTTCAGCCACCGCCAATCTATCAGCATCAGGATCGTTAGCAAGTATAATACGACTACAGTTGTTTTCAGCTGTTTCTATTGCCAATTTTAATGCACTTTTTCCTTCTTCTGGGTTTGGAAATGGAACAGTTGGAAATTCTGGGTTTGGATCTTTTTGTTGCTCAACAACTATCACTGGCTAAATAGTGTAATTCATAAATTATAATAGCTACTGCACCAAATAATTTATAAACATTATATTTATGACATAAATGCATTGAATACAGTTCATTTTCAGATACTCACGTTGAATTTTGCATTTTCAAATACATTTTTTATGTAAGAATACCCTACACCATGCATAGGTGTATAAGTAAATATTATATTTGTTTTCTTTTTATCCAAATTAGGAAACAACATTTTGTCAATAAAACAGTTGTAATTTTTCTGCAGGTCGATTAATGGATTAACTAACAAACTATTATTATAAATGTCTTCAGTATTCCAAAAACCTTCAGGCTCTAAATGTTCAGTAATACTTTTTTGAATGTTTTTATCAACTGGAGATATAATCTGGAAATATATTTGAAAATGTATTCAAGTTATAAGGTGACTAGTGGAATCACTAATGTTCCTTAAAACTTACTAACTTGAGCACCATTTTTCCAGAATACTTTATAACCATTATCTTCTTTTGGGTTATGTGATGCAGTCACCATTAGCCCACCACAACATTTGTATAACTTAATACCGAAAGCTACAAATGGAGTTGGACAAACTTCATTCATAAGATATACTTTGATGGAATGTCTTAAAAAAACTTGCGATGTCAATTCCGCAAATCTAAATCAATTTGAAACAATTAATAAAATTCACATAATGCAAATATACACTTTTTCTCTGTAACCTTTTACTATTATATCTTCCATCATATCCAATAATAATACCAGATGTTTTTAGCAAATCGCCAAAGATGCTCAACATGTAATACAAAAGCCCCTGAGCAGATTGTACGACCACCAGATCATTCATACGTTTGAAACCAGGACCCATCGCTGCTCTCAGACCAGCTGTTCCAAATGACAGGCGACCATCAAACATGTTTTTTATTTTATCCACATTTTTTTGTGCCAATATTTCTGCTAGTTCTACAGAGTACTGTTGTGACTGAAAATTAGTTATACAAATATAAGTACATATTGCAATTCGTTCTACAGCAAAACTGTTCTAACTATAAAGCTCATACTTGATTCCACGAAAGCCAATTTTTCACCAGTAATTCTAAATATTCTGGCAGGAATGTTGTATCCATTTCGTTAACTACGTACGTTTTTTCAAGAAGTAATTTTAAGCTAATGGCTATGAGGTTCAACTCTCCACTGTTCAGGGTTTGTACAATACAGTAGTCAGTAACTGACAATTTTATTGTGTCATTGTCATATAGATAAAGAAAATGGTTGTTTGTGATAAATATTATTATTTTTTATTACTATACGCGATTATAATGAACGTCCTTAAGAATTGTGCTAAATACTAAATTGATGGTATAGTGCATAGACCTATATCTGAGGTATAATCACAGAATAGATTTGACGAATTCATTTTTCAAATACACAACCATAATAATAATATGTAATAACCACAATCATAATACTGCGAAAAACGTTGGCAACGTTTTTTTATCAGCGTTGATAACGGAGACATTTTGCAATTTTTTCAATTAATAATTTCAACGACTAAATGAATTAAATTAAAACTTCGTTATTAAAAACTTTATACATCTTGATGTAACTAAGTTTTTTTAGCCAAGATATCAACAGTTTTTGACTTTTGATGTAAATTAAAACGTTTACAACTACAAAATAATTGAAATTTTTTCTTGGTTTTAACAAATTTCCTAAACATTTTAACATTTACTATTATATTCTTATAAAAAAAACCTCAAATTTAGAAATAATATCTTAATTCGTGGAGTAAACATTGTGACTGTACTTTTGTAATTCCTATGTTAGATTCTTTGAACAATTTGTTACAATTAATTTTTATTCTTTACGCCACCTTTAAATTTTAATGTTGATGAATGAAACATTTTTACTACTTCAAAAACTTATGACGCACAAGGAACAAATTAGCGTTGATTAAATAATAGATGGTGTAAACACTATAAACTCCCTAACTACTTATTCAATTGTCTTGCAGTTTTTTTTTTAATTAAAGAGGACATCACAAAGAAAGTTTTAAACATAGTCCGATAAAGTTAATAAATAATCAGTTATTATTAATTAAAATAAACCCCTAAATTGTATACCTATACCTTTTTTAGTAAGAAATACTTGCTGGCTGAAAATAAATAACAATCCAACTCGACAACCACAGATTATTCTAGCAGGTCGGAATTATAACAAATAATTTTATCCGAGACAGTATCTAATATCCATTATTAGTATTTATAATCAATCAATGGAGGTTTCTGGTAGCAAATTATATTTAGTTGGACTTTTGAAAGGTCAAAATTGAAAATTAAAAGATCTATGTTGTGTCTTTTAAAACAATCAATCAAGATTTTCAAGAAGAAAAATTTGATACGTATCGATACGTACCACCTCGTATCGAAGTTCGAGTCCGATACGGGTCGGTACTCGGTACGTAGCGCTTGTATACTGCACGTGTAACTTCTCGAACGCTCAAAATTACATCGATACGTATCGATACATTCCAAATTCTTCCTTGAAAATCTTGAATCGTTGGTGAGAAACCTATGAAATTATAGAATTATTAATACAATAATTGTTTGGAAACCTTGGTAACCAAAAACAGACTATATAATTTTTTTTCAACATTATAAAGAATCCGCGGTGGCGACGCTAAATTTATATAGATACATCACCATGGAGAGGTGACTAAAAATGAGCAAGAATAAAAATAATTATTTAACGTCTAGAAAATAAATATTAATATAATATCTGAGAAATCTTGCAACAGCGAAGCATTGCAGGGTCGGCTAGTATTATATATATATTTCATTGTACTATATTTTATAGTAGTACATTTTATATCTATACGCACATTACACATTATATATAGATATAAAATATATATGTGATAAAAATATCGTACAATGAAATATGATTAAAATATGTTCAATACCAGATAACAATTATTATATCGATAAGATACAGTATAGAGTATCGACGATTAACTTGAAAATTGTATGATGTAATTTGGAAATGTAGCTCGGGCCGAATAATGCAATTTAATTAATCAACGTTTAATAAGTGTTTTTTGTTACCTATTATGTGGTCAATATAAAATTTAATATGGATTTAAATAAATAAATAAATAAACAGTTATGACAATGTAAGTATGATTTATTAAATTAATAGATGTTAAAAACAGATGCATTTATTTTAAAATACTTTGAAGCTAAAATACCCGCTTCTGATGAATTATTTTTAAAATCTATACCTATCAATTGTATTTCCCTCATTGGCCTCATTACATTTTATTACCCACCTTCTATAATAGAATCCACCAATTGTATT